TCTTTTCAAGAGAAAAGTCAGAGGGCATCGTCTCCTTGCTTGAAACTGGCCAAAGCCCATCAGGATGAAGACTGTGCCCCTTAAGTATTCATCCGACTTTCCAGTAGGCTACCAACCTTCCCCTTGTTCCTGCTTCCCTGGCGTCAGCATATTTGCCTCCTTAAGTCCCAGGGGAATGGGTGTCCATCTCACCAGCCCCTGCCTCATTACAGTGCTTCCTTCACAAGCATGAGAACCTGAATTGAATCCCCCACATCCATGGTTTTTGGTTTTGTTTGTTTTTGGTTTTTCGAGACAGGGTTTCTCTGTAGTTTTGGAGCCTGTCCTGGAACTAGCTCTGTAGACCAGGCCAGCCTCGAACTCACACACAAACAATCAAAAACAGGAGTGGCGCCGTGCTCTTGCAATCTCAGTGCTGGAAAGTTGGAAGAGTGGGGCTCCTTGGCCAGGCCAGTGAGAGATCCTGTCTTAAAGATAAAAGAAAAAAGATGAACAGTGGCTGCACTGAGATTTGCCCTTTGGCTTTCGCCTGCGCACAAGGGCATCCCCAGCTCCACCAGCCCCCTATGCACACAGAGAGATCATATCTTAAAGGAGATAATGCGTCCAGAGTCCTAGCAGAGGAATCTTCCGGGGTCTGTTTTGTAAGCAGAGTTCAAAGATTCTTGAATTCCAGACCCTATGCTTGGGCAACAGGAATTTGCAAAACAAGTTCTCTGTTGTCCACATCCAGCCCTTCCCGGATTGATAGAGACCCAAAAGAAATGAAAGCAGGGACTTGAAGAGATGCTCTCGTGCTTGTGCTCGTAGAGACATGGTTAGACATATGCTAATCAGAAGATACCCAAGTGTCCATCGATACATGGACGGATAAACAAAATGTGGCATGCCCATACAGTAGGCTACTCTGTGTGTGAAACTTGAGGACATTAAACTAAGTAGGAAAAAAAAAGGCCAGATATCAAAAAAGACAAATGCTAGATGATTCTAGTTATTTCTGGCAGTCAAATCTGTGGATCTAGAAATAAAGATGGCGGTTCCAGGTGTTCCTGAAGCAGCTGATGCTGCTACCTCCTCCTTCAACTGTTTATTTATTTATTGTTTACTCTGTGTGTGTGGCTTCATGCGTATGTCTTGGCACATATGTAGAGGTCAGAGGACAACTTTCACGAGTCGGCTCTCTTTACCATGTGGGTCCCAGGGATTGAACTCAGATCATGAGACTTGGTAGCAAGGTCCTCTCTACCATTTGAGTCACCTCACTGACCCCGCAGCCATTTTAGTTGGTTGGCGATGCTGCATCTTGGCCCCAGTTTGCATCTTTCTAATAATTAACGACATCAGATGCTTTTTCGTGGATTTGGTGGCCAGTTCATGTCTTTACAGACATAGTAATTTAAGCTCCTTTTCTTTTTTAAAAGATAAACCAGGTTGTTGTTTTTTAAGACAGACTTATTGTAAACGTTTTGGTTGCTGTCCATGTCTGTCATGCTGGGGACTGATCCCCAGGCCTCTGGAAGAGCAGCCAGTGTCTTAACTGCCAAGCCATCTCTCCAGCCACGTGATTTTCTTTAATTGTTGAGTTGTTGGAATTCCTCATATATGTTAACTTCTACACTTTGTTAGGTATTTTCACTCATTTTATAGATTGTCATTTTAAAACATTGTGTGTGTGTGTGAGAGAGAGAGAGAGAGAGAGAGAGAGACAGAGAGAGAGACAGAGAGAGACAGAGAGACATACTGGAGCTTGGCCATTGCACATGTGTGGAGGTCAGAGGACTGCCTTTGGGATATCTTTCTTTCCTTCCACCACGTGGGCAGAGCTCAGGTTGTCAGGCTCAGAGCAAAGAACCCATCTGAGCCATCTCTCCTGCCCACCCACTAGACTGCTTTTGTGGTCTGTCAATCATTGCATCTTCTGGACATGGAACTTTTAAGTTGGGTATGATTCTCTTGGTCTATTTTCACATTTCTTCCCTGTATTTTTGATGACATGTCTGAGCATGGCTTTGACTAACCCCATTCATTTTTAAAATTTTCTGCTTTATGTAGTACTGGGGAATTGAACCCAGGACCTTGTGTACGCTAGGTGAGTGTTCTATCAATCAAGCTACAGGCTCAGATCCCTATTTACTTTTAAAATGTTCTTGCTTCTGTCACCAGAGTATCTGGTTCCCAACTCTATTCTCCCCAGGTAAAGAAAAGCCTGATCAGTCTATGGTGATGTGAGGTCATTGAGATGGGGTCTCACCAAGTCACCCAGGCAGGTTTGGAACTCACTATGTAGCCCCGGCTGCCCTGTATCTCACAGTCCTCCTACCCAGCCCTCAGAGTGCTGGGGTTACAGGCCTGCACGACCACACCCAGGTGGCAGAGCCATGACTCCGTGTATTCTCTGAACCTTGGCTATAAACTGTGCCTGGCCACAGGCCTGCAGAATTCTTGTTCAGTGACCGAGTGCTCTATTGCTGCCATGGGACAAGGTTTGACTTAGAGTTAACAACTGGCGGTCCCTGGGCAGTGCCTCAGGTTCTTCTAGTGAATTCTACGAAGGGAGAGATGAGGGCTTCAGGAGAGCAGCCACTTGCCATCCCATAATATGGCGGAAGGGATGAGTTGAAGTTGTTGATGTCCTCAGAGGGCTTTTCACTGGAGTAGGGACTAGCGAATCTTTGTGCTCTTCATAGGATGGAGGCTTTTGAAGGATGCCAAGCACAGCCAGAGCGAGGTGAAGGAGTTCTTGGTTCCCTTTCCACTCCCTCTGCTGCAGCAGGGGGCATGTTTTGAGGGTCAGTTCCTAAGAAGAGGATGGGAGTGGAACCCTCACCCTCAGCTATCAATATCTACATGAATATGGACGTATAATTGGGGTCCACTGCAGGATACTGTCAAACGTTTTTGGCTTTGTCAGACTTCCATGGAGTTCCAGAAACCTCTGGGATGGTCCATGTACTTTTGTGTAAAATCTTGCATTAGCAAGAACCTACAGCCCATACCTGTCATATCTGATTGCCTTCCTTGTCTCACCTGGTGATGTCTCAACACCCTGCCCTGTGTTCAGCAAGATAGCTGGGTCAGAGTAGAGACAGTCCAGCTCCTTCCTGTTGTTTCCATGGGACCGTTTGCTATCCATGGACTTGCATCCCAAGTCTTGCCCCGAACCCCCATTTAAAAAGAAACAAACAAAAAACAAAACAGCAAACAGGGACAGTGAGGTGGTTCACCTGGGTAAAAGTCTTTGTGGCCAAGCATGAAGACTTTGGTTTGGTCCTCGGGCCTGATCATTCCTTCTATCATGAAAGGATAGAACTGACTCCTGCAAGTTGTCCTTTGACCTCCACAAGAGCCCATACCCCTTCACACAAAAAAATTAACTGATGTCAATTTTTATAAAATCCATTATCAACATCCTTATATCTACTGGGACAGTTCTCAATAAAATTTTTCTTACAGCGTCCCTAACAATTTAATGTTGGTTTTGTTTCTTTACCAGTATTGAAATTTAGTTTTTTTTTTTTTCTCTTCCCTAGCCAGACAGCAGCATTCGCTAGACTGTCTGGATGTAGAAATATGGTTCTTGGGTGGCAGGCACGGGACTTAACTCCCCCTCCTCTTCTGCTGGGGTCAGGGAAATGAGCCTTCTTCCTGGCCCTTGCTTGGGGCCTCCAGCCGGCAGCTGGAGGGATTAAGGAAAAGAGGCTCCTGGCGTCCCTGAGTCTGGAGTGGCAGCCCGGGATGTCCCAGGAGAGTGGAGTGGGCCAGAGGTCTGGAGGCTCCCAAATCAATCAGAGGTCTGAAGGTCACTGAATGGCGACCTTTGATTCAGGAGCCTGGTAGCCCTGAGGCTTGCACAGCCTCAGAAGGGGTGAAGGGAAAAGGCAGATGTTTGAACCCAGTGCTTTTCCCAGAGAGGTATCCTGTGCACACAGTCCTTCTCAACACCTTACAAAAAGAGCTGCCCCATCTCATCAGCACTGTATTCTGGGGGCCTCAGAGAAGGTTCTGGCATCCCTCAGATAGCCTCTTTTATGGAAGCATCTAGCAGCCTCGGGTACAGATATTGTAAGGTAGAAAGTATCAAGAAGTGAAAACTGCTCTCAGTTGCTTCCGAGGCTCAGCTATTTTAATACATAAGATAACGAGGGACATATGGCAGGGCCAGCAGTCCAGCGTAACAGGAAAGGTGTTTGCCCTCAAGCCTGATTGCCTGAATTCAAGCCCCAGGATCTGCGTATGGAGGTTAGAGGACAGTGTCCAGAAGTTAGTGGTCCTCTGCCATGAGCGTCCTGGGGATTCTTGGGGTCTCAGACAGGGCACCGAGTGCCTTCATTCTCAGGCTCTCTCTCATCCCTTTATCTTTACTGTGCTGCGTTAGTTTGTTTGCTTGTTTTTTGAAATCGCATCTAGAGAAGAGAACAAACTCCCGAAAGCTGTCCTTCGACTGTCACAAAAGCGCTCTGGCCTGTGCACTCACACACACACACACATACACACACATAATATATAAATGCAATTTTTTAAAAAAAATGTCAAGGAGCACATTGGAAATAATGGCTTCTATTGTCCTGAGCGTTTATGAGGAGAACCAGCTGTTTCCAGTTTTGACTGAAAGGCGCCTGTTTATCCAGCCAGTACTCAATAGAGTGTTCAGTGTGCTGCCAATCAGTTGCTTCTCTGCTAATTTAGCCCCACTAACTTTAGTACACCGCCCCAGGTGAAATGGAGGTGATGTCATAAGTGATGGGCAATCTACAATAAGATCATTATGCTGTACATTCTAAGATGTTGTTGCTGGGCTGGCAAGATGGTCAGTTAGGAAAAGTGCTCACCACGCCGGAAACTGCTCATGTACTGTCTGAGTCGATAGACAGCCCCCTGGCTCTTCCAAGCCAAGCCTTTTTATCTACATCCGGGACCTTCTAACAGCACCTTACTAGGCAAGAGCTGCTTGGCTCCTCTGAGGTCCAAGACCCATTCTGTGCTCAAGAGTATTGTTCTGTTGCACCCGTGTGTGCTTTTGTTGACTTGGCTGATGCAGCAGACACAAGAAAACAGGGGCAGAAGTAAACCTTCATTTGCAACCCAGAACTCACTGTTCAGTGTGAGTTTTGATGTATGTGAGAAGGGATATGATACCCAGGGTTGCTCAGTGATAATGATATTGGAGGCTGGTTCCAAGAATGGTCAGTTGATCATTTAAATGCACAGGTGATGTTCACACACTCAAGGAGTGTTGGGTCAACATTCTAATTTTCATGCTATAGACTGATTCTTTCCCTTTGTTGTGCTACACACTGTAGTACATCCCTTTACTTATTAAGTTTGTGTGTGCACATGTGCTTGGGTGGAAGTCAGAAGACAGCAGACGGCTTGCTGGAGCTGGTTCTCCCTCTCCACCAGATGAACAGCCCATTCATCCGTCAGTAGTGGCGGCAAGCCCCTTTACCCACTGAGCCATCTTCCCCCTCTTTTTCCTTTAGCTTTGTTGTTATGGTAGTGGTGATTTGTGTGTGTGTGGGGGGGGGGAGGGTTGTTTTAGTTTTTGTTTTCTGAGGCAGTGCCTTGTTATGTAGTTCCAGCTAGCCTGGAACTCACAAGGTAACCTAGGCTGGTATCCTGAACCCTCAATCTTCCTGTTACTCCTTCCCAAATGCTGAGATGAGTGTCTGTGTCACAGCAAGCTTTGACTTGCTTTCAAATGCACAAATGAACATTTCAATGCTGTATTGGCAAGTTTCAGTTGAGTGACATTGCCAGTCTGGGGAACTTGGGAGCTGGTTGCCAGGCCTGGTCTCTCTATGCTTCGTTACTGGCTTGCTCTCTTAGGATTCAAGCTGTAGGCCTTCTGTATGACTCAGCTATACCACTCTGTGCAGATACTTACCCAAAGGATTTCAGACCCATATATCACATAGATTCTTGCACATCAAGACTTTTCACAATAGTTAAGATGTGGAACCAGCCTATGTGTCCATCATCAGAGGAATGGATATAGAAAATGAATATGTGGGTTAAGCTAGCTATCCATCTGTCTGTGCGTCCATCTATCTATCTATAATCTATGCATATATATATATATATATACATGTGAATTATTTTCCATATAGAAAATAGTTATGTTAATTGTAGGAAAGTAGTATACTTTCGAAACAGTATTTTTTTTAACTTAGTTTTTAGTTAGTATACAAAACATTAGGTTTCATTATGGATTTTTCAAACACAATTTGTTTCTGTTAGCCTCCTCCCCAACTCTCCTGCCCATCCCCCATCTTCTCTTGTATTCTTCCACCCCCAAATCCTCAACTCCTCTTTTTCCTCCCTCCTGGTCTCTGTTCTAATCCTGTAGCCTATAGCCACATTCACACCCTATGTACACAGATAACCATCTCAAGCCATCATCCTCATACGGGATGAACCGGAGATAGTTATATTAAACAAGTTAAGCCAGGCTCAGAAAGACTGGTATGTTTCTCTCACATGCGGTGCCTGGGTTTTACAAAGATCCCTAATAATAGTGTGTGTATTCATGTAACATGAAGCGAGGTTATGGGGACAAAAGGGACTAATCTAGAGGGGTGAGAAAAGGGGCGGATGTAGGAGAATGTGTTCAACATACGTTTTATACTTGCATGAAAAACATTAAAATAAAGAAAATTTAAAAACAGACTACTCACTGAACTCTTGAGCAGGGGACATGCCAACATACATTCCCTTAATGTTTGCTGAAAAGGCTTTCTCTCCTAGGCCTGGGAGCTATTGCCACCACAAATCTATTTCAATTGGGATTTTTAAAGGTGCAATTATTTGTTTACGTATCCGTGTGCTGTGTATTTGTGCATGCATACAGGGGTGTATGTGTGCCTGTGCCACAGCACTCATGCACTTTTAGGAGTCCTTTCTCTCCTTCCACCATATAGATCTCAGGGACCAAACTCCAGGCCTTAGGCTTGGTGAGAGTAAAGCACCTTGACTCTCTTACTGGCTCCGTCTTCCCGGTTTCCATAGTACATATTTTTGATGCTTTTTCCCCCCTTTTGATTCATATAAGTTTATCTATAATACTGAAAGTGTCAGTTTGTGAAATTCCATGCAAAGTGTCCAGGAAAGACAGAGATAATACATGGGAGAGCGAAAGACTTAAAGACAGACCCATCTCAAATACGCCACGTTGGTCTGTCTGCTGTTTCAGGCTGAAACCGCCTAAGGAACTGTAGCCACAGGAAGGGCCATTCAGCCGGCCTCTCCCAGGAGCACAGGCCATAAAGATCCTTTCACACACCAAGACTGAGAGGGAGCCTTGATCACCACAAGCCAGTGACTGGGGCTGCCTGAACCTGTGTAAACACTCTGAAGTAGCCCTTATCTCCCCTCGGCCTGACGGCCCCATATATCTCCTAGCGACAGCCTGCAGTTTACTCCCTCAGTCAGAGACCCATCTGTCTTGTCAGGGTATTTTATTTTATTTTTTTAATAATAGCCACAGAAACTAAAGTAAAAACATGGCCCTGGTAGAATCCGGAGCCGAATGCTGCTTCCACCACAAGCCCTGCACCAAGAGCCTTGTGGTACCCATCCCCGAGAAGAAGCTAGCCGATTTCCATCTTTCACGGGGGGAAGGAAGTTTACATCAAAGAGGGTATAGGGATATCTCTGGCCACAAGTCCTGCTCCCCACTCGCTCTTTTACCTCACACTGGGGGGATTCAGGAAGGCTGGCTTTAGACCCCCAACATATTCCTCAGAAGGGACCCTCCTCAACTCTGCACATGGAGCTGGTTTCTTCTTCAGAGTTGCCACTGTGTTGTCCCTCAAGGACACTGGGCCCCGAATCTCCTCAGTGCCCCCACCATGCTGTTGTCTATCTGTCTGTCTGCTGTGTTGCTACTGCCTTCTTCCAATAAACTTTGGAGCCCCCCACAATTATTGTCAGTGTCCCCTTAAGACCTTGCAAACCCCAGTAAGCAAAGTAGCTTTAAGTCAGAGGTTTCGGCCCAGGTAGGGCCCTGGTGACCTTAGCTGAATCATGTGTTCTATGACCATCCCATTCCTAGATTCAGCTAAGGGCTCAGCTCAGCTCCACTGAGCCTTAGAAAACGAGAGCCGGGGAAGAAACTACCTCAGAGGAAAGCCACTAAGTGTTTGGCAGGAGGAGAGGCCATATGGTGTGGGCTACATCGTAGCTGTTGTAAGGAAGGCCTGCTGGGATATTCAGATGGTGAGCTACTCCCATCGGCTCAATTCAGACCCGTCACCGTGTTTTCCCTCTCCGCTCTGATATTTTTGGTGGCACGGCAAATATTTTCTGCCTGCCTCTTTCTATGAAAGCCTCAGTGAAAGTGGGAGGCGAGTCACAGCTTGTACTTATTTCGGCTTTCCAAACGCGTGGCGCGGTCTTGTGTACTCCGCATCAACTCTCCTACTCGGTCCTCGTCACCCATCCCGGAACATCCTTTCCATGTTTAGTAGTATCCTCATTTCACCCACGTCGACGCCGAGGAACAGAAGGTACATAACATGCCCAGGCACACCGCTAGTCGCCTGCAGGCCTGGAATTCGAGCGGAGGCCTGGAAGCTGCAGAGTTGCCATCCTTAGCTGACACCTGTTGGGTTATGTCTCTGAAACCCGATTCGTTTCAGCAGCTTTCCCATGCAGCCTGACGTCACTAGGCAGCCATGTCCCCTCATGAGTGAATGGCGTCTCAAATGGCAGCCACCCGTGCATTAAAATCAATTTGTTCAGTACATAGGAAACGCTGCGCAGGAATGTATGTCCCTCACGGCAGGTGGTCACGAAGGGCTCCCCATTGTAAAATGAATGGCCCCAGTTGATTTCCCTGCAAGCTTCACCCCGCAGTGGAAGGTTTTCAGTTAACACACATGGCCACTGCATGGAAACCCAGGGGCCCCCGGCTTGGCTGGGAGACCTCAGGATGACAGAGTTCTTAAACCAGTTTCAGCAAGGGGTGGGTCGTGGGGAGAATTTCTTGGCTCCAGGAACTGGCTGTCAGGGAGGAGAGGGGTGTAGCTGTCCTGGAGTGATGGAATGCAGCCAGCAGCTGTCTCTCCTCCATTTGAGCCTGTACACTGGCAGGGTACTGTCACGCAGAGCTTCCCCATGACATCAGAGTGGTACTATTCTCAGGTCATTTATCTGTGTGGGAAGGGCTGGCTTCCCTCGCGCCTAGAATACCCTTTGCTGGCCTGCTGTGGGTCATGCATTCCCAAGCCATGGCTGGTCATCTGTGATGGGGATACAGGTGGGAGAGAAGTGGTCTCCGCAACTCAGGATGACGGCTAGTTTCTCCAAAGATTCAACAACATAGATGGAGCACTAAAATCAACATACCATTCATTGCTTACACCCATATTCAAGAGCGGCCCTCAGTTTCTCAGAATCAGAGCAGCCATTTCTTCCCTGAACAGTAGCAAATGCAGAGACTCCTAACTGCCCGAGAGGCAAAAACTAAGAGAGGAATGTGAACCTAGCCCTAGACAGGTGACGTCCACCACCCTCTCTAAGGCTCAGTGAGCATCTGAGCTGAAAGATAAGCATAAAAGGCTGTGGAATGGCATCCTCTAGACTCCCCACAGCCACTGTGAGCATTAACTCACAGCGCCTGTGGTTACCTGGGCTGGACCCCCAAAGACCAGCTCTGTCAACCATCAGTCATGAAACGGGGAGCTCCTCCCCTTTATGTCTGAACAATTTACTGGGGGAGACGGGGAGAGCTGTCTCTAGTGGTTTTTCCTCTGCTGAGCCAATCAGTCTCGAATACATAGCTCGAAAACCATATTCTTACAGATAGCTCTATTTAATCTTGATGGGTCACGAAACAACATAAATAGATGTGAACATGAGAGATTTGTGGGGATGGAGCAGGGTGGATGGGCTTGGTAGAAAGGTTGGAGTCAAGGGTAGTTAGCATGCTCTACATACGTGTTCAAAATTTTTGTTTGTTTATTTTTTTAAACAGTAAAATCAACCTTAGTCACAAACTCTCTCTTTCTCTCTCTCTCTCTTTTTTTTTTCCCGAGATAGGGTTTCTCTGTGTAGCTTTGGAGCCTGTCCTGGAACTAGCTCTGTAGACCAGGCTAGCCTCTGACTCACAGGAATCCACCTGCCTCTGCCTCCC